TTTCTTTTCTCCTTCCAATCCTAATTATTTTCTGCCTTTTCTTCAACTCTTTCATTCATCTCCCTTGAAATTATGCACATCCTACTTTTAGAAAGATGCAAACAGCTTCCGATGCGTGTGCCCTGCTCTCCGAGTCCTTGCTGGCACACATCATGATGCTTCTTTGGGCTTCTGAAGAGTATGACATCAACAGTTGTGTTTCTGCTGAAAGCTCTGTTTATTAAACGTCGTACACCACAAGAAGGCACATCTGATTCAGCTATATATGAAATATCATTAGGATTTTAGAAGATAGTTGTTCAGCATGATTATCTCGTAGCAAATTGAATTCAGTGCCTTACACCTAAGATTGTCACTGTCCTCACACTTAATGAGTTCTATTCACTTCCGTAGTTCCACACTGACCTCTTTCTGCGTTCATGTCTCAAGTGCTCAGTGTATACCAAGTAGAGAGAAAAAGAAACAAAACACCAGTTAAAATGAACTGATTAAAGAACACGGAAATTATACTCCTAAAACTGCCCTTTTAAAATAAGCCAGTTGGGGTTATACATCTTTTATTTTGAGTGTCTACTTTACAAATGAGTTTTTCTAATCACAGTGTGCATTGAACCAAAATGAAACAAGCTCAAAGGCAGCCCTGTAAGTATTCATTCAATTTTTTCTCGTTCTAGGAATATTAGATGTTTTTCTTTCCTCAGGTACTCTTGGGGGTGAAGTGTATTTGGCAGAAAATATGCTTGCCAAAATGCTTGAAACTGGACTCTAGTCTTTGGAGTATGTCAGTCTCTCAGTATTCTGTAAAATACTCTCTTCTATGAAGCAGCTTATCTAACTGTCTCCCTTGCTGTGCATCTTTAAGGAGAAACATTTTCTTTTCCTTCATATCTCCCTGCGAACAAGAAAGCACACTACCAAATAACTGTGAGCCAGAACCATATGCCATGGAAGGCTGGACGGCACCATTAATGAGGTCCATGGGCCTCTCCGGACAACTCTTCCACCCACTTCATCTCTTACGTGGGTGGTCCACAGCTCCAACTAGCAATGAGCCTTCTCTTTTGGAAGAAGTTTTGATTTCGGGGAAAATTATACTTTCTCATATAAAACTCGTATAACACTTTTGTCCCTGTTATATTTTTTTCTTTTCTCCTTCCAATCCTAATTATTTTCTGCCTTTTCTTCAACTCTTTCATTCATCTCCCTTGAAATTATGCACATCCTACTTTTAGAAAGATGCAAACAGCTTCCGATGCGTGTGCCCTGCTCTCCGAGTCCTTGCTGGCACACATCATGATGCTTCTTTGGGCTTCTGAAGAGTATGACATCAACAGTTGTGTTTCTGCTGAAAGCTCTGTTTATTAAACGTCGTACACCACAAGAAGGCACATCTGATTCAGCTATATATGAAATATCATTAGGATTTTAGAAGATAGTTGTTCAGCATGATTATCTCGTAGCAAATTGAATTCAGTGCCTTACACCTAAGATTGTCACTGTCCTCACACTTAATGAGTTCTATTCACTTCCGTAGTTCCACACTGACCTCTTTCTGCGTTCATGTCTCAAGTGCTCAGTGTATACCAAGTAGAGAGAAAAAGAAACAAAACACCAGTTAAAATGAACTGATTAAAGAACACGGAAATTATACTCCTAAAACTGCCCTTTTAAAATAAGCCAGTTGGGGTTATACATCTTTTATTTTGAGTGTCTACTTTACAAATGAGTTTTTCTAATCACAGTGTGCATTGAACCAAAATGAAACAAGCTCAAAGGCAGCCCTGTAAGTATTCATTCAATTTTTTCTCGTTCTAGGAATATTAGATGTTTTTCTTTCCTCAGGTACTCTTTGCCTCTCAGAAACCCATCATTTTTTTTGAGTGACCATAAACAAATGAATTTCTAGCCTACATATTCGTTGGTAAATTGAGTTTAGTAACACTGTAATAGAAGGTCTGTGTGAGGCTTTTTAAATATGTTCAAAGTACCCAGCTAGTTCTTATACTATTCCACAAGATCCTTCCCCCTACACGCCCCACTTAGCTTGGCAATATTGAGTTTTAAAAATGCTTTAAAAAGTGTAACATTGTAAGGAAAAATGTGTTTCTATTGCTGTTTGTATTTATAGGATGCTGATTTACAAAAAGTTAAGATTGTTAGTTGGAAAGAAGAGAATCCCAACACAAGCTAGCCTGAATAAATAGGGGGTTTTCCCAGAAAGATCTTGGGTTGTCTCACAGAATGTAAGCTAGATTAAAACAACCAGCCCTCAGAAAGTTCAGGGATGCAACCTAATCTTGGAAACAGCAGAGATCCGCCATACAAATATTGTCAGGATTCTCTCCATCTGTCTTTTCTGCTGCATTCTGGACCTCAGCATTTTTTTCTCTCTCTCTTCTTCACTGCAGATAAGCTTTCTTCTCATGGCTGAAAACATGGCCAATGACAACTTCTGAGTTTTTATTTTATAGCTTCAGTCATCAAAAAAGGGGCTGATCTGAACTTTCTTGGTGCCAAAACCAAAAGAACTATAGGATAACTACCTACTGACCTGGCTTTGCTCATCTTTCCATCTTTAAAGCAATTAACTTTTTGTTGGTGGAGGGAGGGGAACAGTAATACCATTGTTTGTCAGTCACGGAATCTGACTCGTGTGTGTGTGTGTGTGTGTGTGTGTGTGTGTGTGTGCGCGATTGGGGGAGGAGAGTGGGATGGGGTGGGATTGAGCAGCCATAGACATGTCATGTAAGAATTTGAGAGGTTCAGAGGGGAAAGATCTTGAGAAAAGTACACTGCAGGAGAAGCAGTATTCAGAAACAAGGAGTTCTGGATGCAAAAGAAGAAAAGGTGTGGAGGAGGGTGGACCTTCACAGGCTCTCTATCAGGGCACACCCAGAGGCAGAGGTTCTTGCTTGGATTTTGTTCGTGAGGACACTTATGCTTCAAGTTTATCTAACTTCCCCACAGCACAAGGTTACCTGTGTCGGGGGGTGGCGGGCAGAAACCTGTGGTTTATCTGAGTAACAAGCCTGTTTCTTTTCCACCAAGCTGGGTGGGGGAATCCAGAGGAAGGGTAGAATTTGGAGTATGGAAGGGATCATTTTTTGGTTTATTTATTGATTGGTTGGATTTTGTGATCATGTTCCAGAGCAAAATTACTGAGTCCCTTTCCCCCCCGGCTTTTTTCTGTGTTTTGAAGCCTTAGCTGGACACCATGGAGTTATCAAAAGGTTTTTCCCAAACAGAAGCCCTGTCAGCACAAACAACAGTTTGCTGTGCTGAGCAGAAAATTTCTAATAATATGTCTGGACGTATTCAGGAATATTAGTTTCTGGGCTTTGAAACAATCATTGCTGGAGGGTTTCCTACCTATGTAGGACACTTAGGGTAAATCATCTTACTTTTCCTTGCCTCACATTTTCGGAGGCTGCACAATGAACCCTTTTGTTGTATTATACCACTTCTGTGATTTCGCTGTTTATACCCTGTCCCTGTTGAAATTCATGAGATTTTACTCTTCCCGTAAAGATTGTTTTCAAAAATTTCAGTGTTTAGCATTGCGTTTACTCTTAATTTTATTTGTCATACATATTGAGCACTTGCCTGGTTATTTTTTAGAAGAGTACCCGCAGTGTAGAGGTTTTAAATCATGTATGTAAGAGATGAAGAGAATTACCCAAAGACACCATGTAATAAATTGCTGAGCTGGGATTTGTGCTGAGATATATGTAACCCTGAAGTCTGTGATCTATGTCGAGAAGAAATGAATGTTGCCTTCACTCCCCTTAGCCCAAGTGACACTTAACATTTGTCCTTGTTATTTTTGCAGTATAAAATGTTTGTTTTACTTCATTGTGGCCGTACTTCATATCTTGAATTTTCACTTAATCCACTCCCAGTCTGTTTTTTTTTTTTGCGGTATGCAGGCCTCTCACTGTTGTGGCCTCTCCCGTTGTGGAGCACAGGCTCCGGACTCGCAGGCTCAGCGGCCATGGCTCATGGGCCCAGCCGCTCCGTGGCACGTGGGATCTTCCTGGACCGGGGCACGAACCCGTGTCCCCTGCATCAGCAGGCGGACTCTCAACCACTGCGCCACCAGGGAAGCCCCCAGTCTGTTTTAATCCTTTTTGTTAACATCATTTGTAGTAGCTTTATGATAGCCCATTAATATTATGTACTACAACTTTCCTAAGAAATCTTCTCATGTTGGAAACTTACATGGATTCATCATGGCATCATTGTGAATAAGGATAATTAGCACACATAGTTTTATGTTTTGAAATACATCCTAAAGATAAAGCCATCTAAGGGTGATTTCTGGGTTAACTTATATGAATGTTTCAGAGAGTTTTTAAAGTGTATGGTGAAAAGCTTTTTCAGGATAGTCATACTGTTTTCATTATAAGTAGTAAAGGCCTCATTTTAAGGGTGTTATTGGCTCTGTTAATAATTATAGAATTTCCTAGTATGTTAATTGAACAGATACCATCTTTTCAAATTCATGGGGAGTTTAAAATAGATTCCTGGCCATCACCCAAAAGAGAAGCAGGAGGATTATGACCTCAATTATTTGCCCCTTTCCCCTTTCCTTTAAAAATGCAAAATCTTTTAAAAATGCAAAATCTTTTAAAAATGCAAAACCTTTTAAAAATGCAAAATTACATCTTTGTCTATTTTGTTCTACAGTAAGTGAAAAACCTTACAAATTCTGACCACTTCAAATTAACTTTAAGTCAATGAACATGTGCCCCAGTGTTGAAATGCTTTATTTAATTGCCTAAATCAGCCCTGAGCCTTTCTTTGCCCAGTAGTACCAGGTGGACCCACCTCTTGTGGTGAAACCATTGTCTTATGTTCACGTATTCAAGTCTCACTCAGGAATGGGAGTAGAGCAGACCGATTTCTACCATTAATTCATGTAGTTGGATATAAGACGTTTTTGTTTTTCCCCTTATTTCAACTGATTTGGTTTTTTTGTTTGATTTTGCTCCATCTCTAAGGTGTTTGCCAAACTACTGTGAACATGGAGGAAGCTGCTTCCAGTCCTGGGTGACCTTCTACTGTAACTGCAGTGACACAGGTTACGTGGGCGCCACCTGCCATAACTGTGAGTAGACTCATGCCTACCCATTATCAGGGATAATGTCAGGATATATTCAACATGGGGTGGGCACGTTTTAGTCATTCCTTCAGTGTGTGATCCTTTTTTTTTTTTTTTTTTTTAATTTTTGGCTGCATTCAGTCTTCACTACTGTGCATGGGCTTCCTCCGGTTGCTGCGAGTGTGGGCTTCTCTTTGTTGTGGTGCAGGGGCTTCTCACTGCAGTGGCTTCTCTTGTTGCAGAGCACGGGCTCTAGGTGTGCAAGCTTCAGTAGTTGCAAAACACGGGCTCAAAGTTGTGGCTCTTGGGCTCAGTAGTTGCGCCTCACCAGCTCTAGAGTGCAGGCTCAGTAGTTGTGGCACATAGCCTTAGTTGCTCCACAGCATGTGGGATCTTCCTGGACCAGGGATCGAACCCATGTCCCCTGCATTGGCAGGTGGATTCTTAACCACTGCACCACCAGGGAAGTTCCCAACGTGTGTTTCTTGAGAGCATACTCTGCCAAACACTGTGGTGAGCATGGAGGATGCACAAATACAAAGCCATATCATCATGAAGCTCAAGATCTACCAGGAAGACAGACAGAAAATAGGATAAGTGTTGAGGTAGAGGAAAGACAAGGTGCTGTAGGCACACAAAGAAGAGCTCTGAAGTCAACTGCATTTTCTAGCTGGGCTAAGTTAGGCTGTGCAATAAACAACGTGCATCTTGGTGGTGTAAGTAATGAGCAGTTGAATCATGCCTGTGTTACCTGCATATCACAGGTCTGCAGGGCACCCCCTTCCCAAGGTGTTCTTATTCTGGGAAGCTGACAGAGACTCCATCATCTGGAATGTTGCCCTGTCAGGGAGAGGGATGCACAGGGAAACGTGTGCATGTTTTTAAAAGCTTCTACCTGGAAGTTTCTACTTGGACACTTCTACCTGGAAGTGGCAAATGTTACTTCCACTCATGGAATCATTGGCCAAATAAAGTCCCATAAGCACCTAACTTCAAGGGGGTAGGAAGTGTCATCTTACCATGGTATCTGAGACAATAGAGCCAGCATATTGGTGATAAGTACTGACAATGTCTGTGTGTCCATGTTGGGGAGGCTTCAGATAGAAGGTTTGAGCTGATCTCGTGATAGGAAAGTGGCAGACAAGGAAAAGAAAAAAGGAAACTGAAACTGCAAGTAGTTTCACATGGTGGGAGAGTTCTGACAGTAAGTGGTAAGAAAGGAAGCAGGAAGTGAGGAACCTGGAGCACACAGAGAATAAGGGGAGAGGAGGAAAAAGTAAAGGAAGAACAGCAGCGCCACAATTTCCATAATTCGATAGTCCTGTCAGGGTCACCAAACAAAAAAAACACATGACAAAATAGAGAAGGTTTGCCGTTTGGAGAATTGTATGTCAAACTGTGTGAAATGAACTGTAAGTTTAACTGACAAAGATGTAATTGGAAGGTGCTGGCTATAGTTGTAGGAGATTTCACAGAAAATGTGAACTTCGAAATTGACTTAGAAGGTAGAGGAGTGGGAGAAGGGCCTTCTAGAATAATGTAAGAGCCAAGCCAAGGCTGGACATATTCTGAGGACTTCAAGGAGACTATCACTCAGGGCCAGATCTCACCTGTTTTCCCTGCTGTTCCTGGCATGGCACTCAGAATGCAGAAAGGGAATGGTAGATGCCAGCTGGGCTAGAATCAGACTCTGATCCAGGATGAACAGCGCTGATGCTCTCATCCCTGCAGACATCTCAGCCATTCTGTGGCCTCTTCTATGCCTTGTAATGTAACATTCACCAATGGTGACCACAGAGAAGGCTAAGCAAATCAGAGAAGAAATAGCCCATTTGCCATCATGAGATGACATTATTACTGTTAGTTGCCTGTAGAAGTGAAAAACACTGCCTGGCTTTATAATGATATAACTTACTTAAAATTTTCTATTTAGAGATTTGGAACAGTGAACAACAGACTGAGAGAGATTAGATTTAATTTTTAGCAAACTCTTATACTTGAACAAGGACAAAATTTTAACACGCTGGAACTTGTTTTCTCACAGATCCTGTAAAGGAAAACTAACAAAATCGTGTGGACCATTTTAGGGCTAAAATTACAAGTTTTTATTTAAGATTCTCAATTAATACCAATCTATAATTTTTTAAAAAATTAATTAATTTTTGACTGTGTTGGGTCTTCATTGCTGCATGCGGGCTTTCTCTAGTTGCAGCAAGCTGGGGCTACTTTTCATTGCAGTGCACGGGCTTCTCACTGCGGTGGCTTCTCCTGTTGTGGAGCACAGGCTCCAGGCACACGGGCTTCAGTAGTTGTGGCATGCAGGCTCAGTAGTTGTGGCACACAGGCTTAGTTGCTCTGCGGCATGCGGAATCTTCCCGGACCAGGGCCCAAACCTGTGTCCCCTGCATTGGCAGGCAGATTCTTAACCACTGCACCACCAGGGAAGCCCCCCAGTCTATAAATGTTGAGTCCGGTTCCAGAACTATTATCCCTAAACAGCCAAGAACAACATATACTTGGACAGATACATTGTAGGACACATACAGGACTGTCCAGATTGTATGGACAATGCTCTTGTAAGAAGCTCAGAGGCAACCAGAGTGGCCATCAGTTTAATAGTGAGATGAGAGAAACTTGAAGATTTAAGTCAAAACTATCCAAATACTGGCCAAATCATATGAGAACATTCCTATGATTTGTAAAGCTTATTCTGTTCACTTTCTCCTAATTTAATAATATTTTGAGAAGTTCATCTCTACGGATGCTCTCCTCCTTTAAATTTATCCATCCATCATGCTAAAAATAGAAGATTTCCAACTCTATAAAAAAAAGCGTGAACTTAAAAGTCGATGGATGTGAGGTGCTGATTTTTAAAGGAACACTGTCAAAGTTGATGAGCAGGAAACTTAACATACCAAGCCTTAAAAATCTCATTCTCTTTTTATCCCCCTTTCTGTGACATTACTCAGGGTTTATACCATGGGCTGCAACACTATTAAACCCCTCCTTCCCTTCTGGGCACGTAGCCAGGACAGATCAGTGGTGCTTGGGTGGCTGTGAGGTTTGGATGCCTATGCAATTCAAGAATTTATCTCCCTTTAACTAATCCCTCTCCCCCCCCCCCCAATTGGGTGAGGGGCACTGTTTTACGTCACATGTGTAAATTGAGTAAATCAAGTCATGTTTTCCTGCCTTCAGAAAATCTGTGTCCCGAACGTAGGGCATCAGAAATGAGAGCTGCTAAAATACAGAAAACAGAACAGAGGATCCCCTCAGGTCAAAGCAAAACAAGCAAGTTCACAAACCTGCTAGTGTGGAAATGGCAATGCCCTTGGTGTGCTGGGCTGTAATTCCTTGAAACAGTCATGCACAATCAGAAGAGTCGATGCAAGACCTTTAGATTTGTAAGACGGTTTATAATGATACTTAAAACTCGTAATTTCTTGACTACTGGTCTTTTGCCTTTTCGTGCTCTTTAGGATTAGTTTGGTTTTTTTCATTCTTGGTGCATCCTAGTAAATGTGAACCGATAGGGCTAAGGACAGATATGATTCGCTTCTTTCTATCTCGCTTTGTGGATAAGAGAGCGGTCTGGCTGAGGAGGAGGGTATGACGGAACTCTAAGGAATGGTACAATGGGAATTCCCAAAGTCCTTAAACATGGTAGGTTGCTGTTAAAAGTAGATATGTCAGGGCTTCCCTGGCGGCGCAGTGGTTGAGAGTCTGCCTGCCGATGCGGGGGACACGAGTTCGTGCCCTGGTCTGGGAGGATCCCACATGTCGCAGAGCGGCTGGGCCCGTGAGCCATGGCCGCTGAGCCTGCGCGTTCGGAGCCTGTGCTCTGCAACGGGAGAGGACACAACAGTGAGAGGCCCGCGTACCACACACACACACACAAAACAAATAATAAAGTAGCTATGTCATCATTGCATTTCAATTTTCTTTCCTCCTTACCTGATGACATATAAAGAACTTGGGTACACAATTTATGTTACTTTTCAAACACACTTGGTTCAAAGCCTCCTGCTTAACAAGATATGATGATTATGTGGGCACTTCCTCTCCAATCTGTGGCAGCTTCCCCACAGAAGAAGGAAATATGAGACCATCACTTATCCCATGAACTGACATTAAACATTATGTCTGTAAGTTGCTTTGGTCAGCAACTTTCTCCCCTAAGTTGTATCCTATTTGCCAGAGAGAAAACTGAAGGTAAAATAATGTTTTCAGTCCAGATTAAGTCCTGGCAACCCACTCAGTGATCAGAGCCTTCCGATCACCAGAGCTGGTTATTGGTTTTCTAAAATGTGCAAGTTTAGAAGGCTGTGTAATTGAAGCCAAACTACTGAGTACTCAAGGTGTATCTTGGCCATGGTATATTATGAATCCAAGTTAAGATTAAAAGGAAGAGGTTTTGTTATGGGAGCTTAATCATAGATTAGTCTACAACATAATGATAAAGTGAGGTGGGTATTATTATTCTCCCCATTTTATAGATGAGCACACTGAAGCCCAGAAGGTTACGTATCTTCCTCAAGGTAACATATGTAGCCAATGAAGGAGCTGGGATTTCAATAGAAGGAATCTGGCTATGATGCAAGATAAGCCCCATATCTTATTTCCTTTCTCAAATAACGAAGACATTTTGCAAACCTCTGTATATGAACTTAGTGATGGGACATTCATGACGTCTTTCATACTGCTTGAGACCCAGTAGGATCTGTGATACCAGATAGAAAATGCAGTTCTAGAAGACTGAGAGGTGAGACCGTTTTTGTGTTCTAGAATAATCATGAAATCATCCTTGAAGGAAGTAGGTTGAGTCAGCACTTGAAAGACAGCTCAAATTAAAATGGATAAAAAGACAAGGGAAGCCTATTGAAAACAGAGGTTGCTGAGAGCCAAGGTGTGATGGTAGAATATATATGCTGTGATTTGGGACAATGCAGATGTTTGCCTGACTCAAGAAAGGGCAAATAGCTCTTTTCATTCATTCCTGAAGCCCA